TGCTCTCTGCTGTATCCTCAACGCCTAGAAGAGTGCCTGGCACGGTCAGTCACCCTGTACAATGGGATCTAGTCAGGGCCCCAAGGAAACAAAAGGCTGAGATCCAGATTCTCAGACCTTAAGATTCGTCTGAAACAACAAGAGACACACCCCTTCTTACTTGGAGCAGAAGGAAGAATGAATTCAGATACATATCTGAATTCACTGCAGGCAAAAATTTAAGTATTTTTCTCCTCTAATTTGTCCGGGAAACAGACAACACAGGGACTTCAGGGGAGTGGCAATGAACACAAATGCCAGCTGTGGAGAATGGGAGAGGGAGCTAACAGATCCTGGGCACTCCTGCCGGCGGGTGGAGCCACCCAAGGCTGCTGGGCTTCCTCCTGGTCGCCTAGGGCAGTGGTACAGTGCGATTGAAACTTCGTGGCCCAAGCGCAGAAGTCGGTTTTCGGAAAGGAGATAGACGAAACAAGTATACAAGACGAGTGTGGATGGGAGAGCTGGAAGGGGTCGACCTCAGCGAACGTACCTCAATCAGATTGAGGACGTTTTTAGCAAAGGCCAGCTTAGGAGTACCCTAATTAAGTTAATGACAATGTACCTACCTGTATAGTTTAAGTTTAAAAAATTTGGCTCAAAAGAAATTTCAATCGTTGTACTGTTGATATTTGGCTCCGTTGACTAATGAGTTTGCCGACCGCTGGCCTATGGGAAGGCCGAGGGCTGCGCTTTCCTTGGTTTGATGGTCCAGAGAAACGGAAAACCTGGATTTGTCTTGATGCCCCTTGGCCTGGCTGTGCGGGTTTCCTCACCCTCAGGAGAGGAGGAGGGTCGAAATGCAAGTTCCGCCTCCGCTTTTTCTTGGAAGACGGGAGTCCCCACGGTGGCCTCAGCACCTCCCTTCCTTTACCCACTGGAGGAGTCAGCACCAAGCACTGCTCTCACGGTCGTGAACTGGGCAGAGTGTCTTTTAGGGGAAAGGGGGCTGAAGAACAGGCCCTCCTCCCTGAGCACAGAGCTGACACACACGCCCCAAGGTGCAAGCTCTGGGCCTCTCCCCACCGCCCCCCACCTCTTCTTCCCCACGCC